GAAAAGATCATACTATCGCTTCTACAATCCTCTCTTGGCAACAGGGAATCTTCGAATTCAATTTGATTATAAAATTTATATTAAAAAACTATGCTTTCCAGGTTGTACTTGACTTCCAATTTTCAATATAGTTGTTAATTGTAGTTTCTTTAATTGAAAAAGAGATACTAACTAAAGATAACCTTCCTATTTGATAATGAATGTGATAATAATATTATTCAGCCCTTTATTAGGGAGCTTAAGCAACAACGACGGCGACGTCTACGAAAACGTCACTTCAGTAAAACTGAAAGTGAATTCACGCTACTTCCAACTTTATCGTGCTTATTCCAACTCGTTCAATTCGTCAAATGTTGGCAAATTCTGCTGTAAAAGACTGTATCAAAGATCAGGAAAAGAAATTTTCAAACTCATTAATAATTCATAAAGAAAATTCAAAGGAAATTAATGTTTAATGAGTGTTTGGATATCAGATGAAAAACTGCTCATTTTTGCATCCTTAATTTCTCCTTCAAAGATGATTTTATTTGAGAAGAAATATCAAACATTCGACACAGTGTTTCATCACCAGATGAAACACCTCGAAGTTCGTCAAAAATACTCCGCTGCGCGTCGTATTTTCAACTCTCTTCTCGGTGTTTCATCTGGTGATGAAACACTGCATCTCATGTTTGATATATTAAAAGAAAGTCGATGTTTTCGTTCACGTCTGCGAAAAAACGTGAAATTAGGCACTTTCACGTTGTAGTCGTGCAGCGACGGCAAAGAAATGTACAAAAAAGCGTGATGCACTTGCAAAGTTGTTGGTTCGCCAATCTATTGTTGCTTTTTTGCCGTTCTCGTTGCCGTTGCCGTCGTTGTCGCCGTCGTCGTTCCCTAAGTTCCCTATTTTTTTGACGGAAATACGCTATCCTACATCAGAGGCACTCAACGACGGTTTCCTCCTCAGTGAATACATTGCAAATACTTTCTGAGCTGTCCAGAGTACTTTTAGACCGCTAGAAATGCATTCTGACCGGCGCTATAAAATTTCTATCTGTTCGGCAATCTTTAGGGAACTAGAATCTTTTCGACATTACAAGGGCTTCAGCATTATTTTCTCGAAAACTTGAGATGCAATTTGAAGCTGATTCCTCTCTCCCCACATTTTCGAAATTCACAATTTTAGGTTTCCTTTGTCTACGAAATATAGCTTATCCTGCGGAAGGAAATGTGAAAAATTAAACTGCAGAAAATCGTAGCTTAAATTTATTAGTTAAGCTTCGAAAATCGCATATGAATGAAACGGCCAGCTAGATATGTTTTGGTGCCTTGAAGCAACAGAAAATTCAAAAATACAAATATTTTACAGAAAACGGTCGTTGGGTACCCATGCTACATTCACAACATCTGAATAGATATTAACTTATAGATCAGTTACAAGATAGCTCAATTTACATCTGTCATAAAAGTTTCGTGATAGATTTTTTTTTTGTATCGCTGTTCTTATAGATCATTTAATTTAAACTTTCATTGTATAAGTTCGGCTTAGTGCACGTCACACTACAAATGCATGCATCAGTATAATTTTATAAATGCGAGTTGTTAAAGTGGATTGGCGTTTTTAGATTTGTGAACACGTTAAGAAAAGATCCTTTCGCCCATTTCTTAGATTTTAGTATAACTTGTTTTATGATTTTCAGTAAATACTTATTAGTGAGGATTTATAAAAGGATTTTAACCTTGGACTTATCAGTTGTTAAAACGCGCTTTCTGAGAAGAGCATTTTCCTCATAGCAACACATCTTGAGGGTGAAATTGAAAGCAAAACACAGACTCTCATCGTAGCGGATTTAGCGTTGATCTTCAATCGGCGGAATACAAAGGATTTTAAAGTGAGATAGAAAGGAAGAAAAGAATCACAGCCACCGAAGGAAAAACAATCTTAATTCATACTCTCATAATTTCTTCTGCAATTTTCTCTTTGGAACAGGCAAACATGCTTGCTAGGGCGCATTTGACTTTGATTTTTAATTTAATATAGTTGTAAATTGCAGTTAACAACTGCTCTGTTCATGAGAAAACGAGATGCTAAGACCCTGTTTACATGGAGTGGGGGACCCCGGTCTAGTGGGGTAGGTTTCTTTTGTTTTGTGTTCCCCAGAGCGTGAAAACAAAAGAAACCAACCCCACTAAACCGGGGCCCCCCACTCCATGTAAACAGGGTCTAAGATAACCTACCAATTTGAAAATGAATGCGATAATAAAATAATGGTGTTAAACATCCAGCATTTAGATCGCCGGGACGTACGCTACATATGTATCCTACATTCATAACATCTCCATAGATATTAAGTTATAGTTCAATTACATTTTCAAGGTAGCATATTTTAAAATCTGCCTAGAATGTTTCGTGAAATTTCATTTAATCTCCCTGTCTCTCTGTTCTAAATGATAATTAAATTTAAATTTTGATTGTATAAGTGTGGCTTAGCGCAAATCATAATACATAATCATGTATTATGATTTAAGTCATACCGGTGTATAAAACTAAGGATGAGACAGATAGACATAGAGTTTAGATTTCGTTTACCGGTATGTCAGTGTAAGCGCAATGCCCGTTTTCGTTAGGTGAAAATTAAAAATCAGGAATCAAATGCCCCCTAGAAAGCATGTTTTTGGTTATAAAATTTACCATCAAATGAAATATAAACTGCCTGTTGCAAAGACAGAATTGCAGAAGATCGAGTAGGCGTATCCAGGGGACGGGCCGGGGGGCCCGGGCTCCTCCTTATTTTTAATTCATTAATTCGACCCTTAGAGCTAAAGCATATCGCATGTCTTTTGCTTATCGTCGCCCTTTGAAGTGTTTTGCTTTCAATTTCACCCTCAAGATGTGTTGCTATGAGGAAAATGCTCTTCTCAGAAAGCGCGTTTTAATAACTGATAAGTCCAAGGTTAAAACCGTTTTATAAATCCTCACTGAAAAACATTTAACAAGTTATACTAATATCTAAAAAATGGGCGAAAGGATCTTTTTTCATGTGTTCACAAATCTAAAGACACCAATCCACTTTACCAACTCGCATTTATAAAATTATACTGATGCATGCATATGTATTATGACGTGCACTAAGCCGAACTCATACAATGAAAGTTTAAATTAAATGATCAATAAGAACAGCGATATGAAATAATCTTACACGAAATGTTTATGACAGGTTTTTACGCTACCTTGTAACTGATCTATAAGTTAACATCTATGCAGATGTTGTGAATGTAGCATGGGTACCCAACGACCGTGTTCTGTAAAATATCTGTTCGAAGAAGCAAATATTACCTTGAGTAGTACAGGACATGAGGGTACCAGCACATTGGCATATTTTGGATTTTACCTTGGGTTTTTGCTGATGTCAGCATTTTTGGTAATTGGTTTGGACTGGTTATTTTCGCTAATTAATTGACCAAAACGAAAGGTACTTAAAGACAAGGCTCTTCTATATAGTAATGAGTATGAGTACGAAAGTTGTTGTTCAGTTTAATGGCACTGAGGTGTCTGTCAAGTTATCGCCTAATTCTTCGGCAAACGTTTTTATCGACGGGGCTAAATTTGATATCAGACCTATCCGCCGTGTCCGACCAAAACCGGTTCAAACCAGATTTTCCATAAAAAATTACGCATTTATCGATACCCCACGTGAAGAAACAATAATTTACCAAATTACGCATTTATTGATACCCCACGTGAGGAAACAGTAAATTTGCCAAATTATGCATTTATAGATCCGGTTCAAACCAGATTTTACATGAAAAAATACGCATTCATTGATACACCACGTGAGGAGATAATAAATTTACCAAATTACGCATTTATCGATCGGCTTCAAACCGGTTTTTACGGACAGCCGCCATTATATGATTACCAAAATGAGTTTTCACAAAATATTTCACCACCAGCATATTCGATGGGGTTACCTCCACCATATCATCCCAAAGATCCAAATCGCATAGAAAGACGAAAATTAAGAGAATTTACGGAAGAATATTATTTACCTAGTTATTCAAATATTGAGGAAGTAGATTATTTTGGTCCAGAATGTATGTGTGTAAAATGTGCTATATCAAATGGTCAAATAATTAGTACACCGGGTGTCAGATGTAATAACAGTGATTATAGTGAAAATTGTATTGGTAGTGAATGTGAAATTGAATATTGGTCAGTAGAAGGTTAATTATTTAGCAAATAGTAGTTGCAACAATTCGGGGAGTATATCTTGTAATCCAGCTGGATCAATTACATTGGGATCTAGTTTAATACTAGGTGGTGGAATATCTGATTTTTTTGGTTTTTGGGGTATTACCTGGGCAGCTAGCTGTTTCAATGATGGTGGGTTATATACAGGATTGTTCAATAACTGGTTAATTAATTGATCATTAGCGCGTTTCTTTGATACGGAGCTCCGTTTACTTTCCTGTTTGGTTAATAAATGAGGAAACAAATAATGGTAAGCGAGAATTAATTCTATAATTTGATCTCTCTTCATGCGCGTAACAGCAAACTTATCAGCTTTCATCTTAATTATTTCTTTCTTGAGCTCTTTGAGAGTGAACGTTTTGAGATTATTACGCAATTGCATCAATTGGAGTTGCTTTTGGCGCTCTTGGTTTTCCAAATATTTATAATTTGGTCTGTATCCATATACTAATTAGTTAGGCAATCCGTGAATGACCCTGTAATGGGTTTCTAGTGTATCCTTATTATGGAAGTGTTTGATACAATAGTTACACGGCAGTCTGATACCTTTCATATAATCATGAATATTTTTGCAGATTCTATCGTAATCATTACTGAGCACAAATGCATAACCATTGTTAAGGTACTTCTTCTTCATCTCCTTTTGGGCTTCTGAAATATAGCAGTTACCAGTAGGATTCTTGAATTCTATACCCAGGCCCTTATAATCTTTGTGATAATTGAGTACCAATAGATCAGGCTGGCCGCGGGCGTAACCTTTCTTATATCAATCTAGTCTCTTATCCTCAGTATCCTGATTTTCCCCCAGACCGGCTACTAGTATGGAATCTGGATAATATTTTCTTATGAGGTCCACTACTTTATAAAGGAGGTCAGTCTCATTGCTAATCATAATCATCTTATTCCAGGGACTATGAAATAGTTTGTATTGACCATATTTACGGATAGAAAGGAGTACAGTGGAGAATACCCAATCTTGGAATTTTTTAGCAGCTGGTAATTTGGAACTAAATACAAGGGAGTAAAATCCTGGTTCTGATACGAAATATTGGTGTCGGAGCTGACCCCTAGAAACTAGGGGGTAGCTTTTCTTGTACCTTTCATCAAAGTGAATTCTGATAGCTTGATCGGTTTTGACATAACCGAGGATCTCAGCTATTTCTTTTCCTCGGAACCAAACATTTTGCTTTTCATCAATAAATGATGTCAGCTCAATTTCTAAATCTTCATTAGTATACTTTTTTTCTATCATATACATCATATAATATAAGGTTACATAATTTTCTATCACACAGACCAATAAAATTGGTATATATGATAGATTAAAAAGTATGGTGGGCCTGAGGTGCCGTTTTAGCACCTTGGACCTGAGGTGTCGTTGTGACACCCCCAACAAAGCTATCTTATTTGCTGACTCGGCGTTTTACCGGGGCAGCATTTGGGGTGTTTTGATGACGCCCTGTTTCAGGGTATCAACACTTTGGGCCCACTGTTCCCATTTTGGGTCCGTTGGTAGTTTACTCTTTCTCCTCCTCTTCCCCCGTTTCAAAGATCGCTTCAAGGACGCTGGTTAATGACATTTCAACTGTTTCCCGCTTTTTGGAGATTAATTTCTTGTGGTGTAATGTCGCAATCTCTTCTTCCAATTTTTGGATTTTAGTGTAAAGAGCATTGAGTTCAGTTTCCTTACTACGGATTTTAGTATCAAGCTTTCTTATATGATCGTCCATATACTATTGGTTAGATAAATCTTGCAGGTTGCTCAGAGGAATCCAACTATTAAAGTCATCACTATAACTCAACCATTTCGCAAGTGCTTGTTTCTTCTAATAATCCCTCCGAATGACCTTTTCAATTCGAAATACATCCTGTTTTGCTGGTAGTAATTCAGGTTCATAAAAGCTGCCCCGTATTTCCTCATTATTGAGATCCTTTAATCTGTAGGTAATTGGGTTTGTCGATTGGATTTTATCAACCAGGAAAATCTCCTCTGTCCAATTAGGTGTGTACCCTTTATCAAACACCTTTCTCTTGTACTTACTTATCCTTACTTTTTCACCAACCTTGAATTTGGGCTTAGTTGACAATTGCTCCATATCACCATACAGAATGTAATATACGGTACTTTCATTCTTCTTTTTACTAGCTTCTACAGGAGTCATTTTAATGGAACTGTGGTTGGTGTTATTATACTGCTCCAATATTTTTATGTCGAGATATTGGGTATTACCCTGGACAGTAAACTGCTTCCACATTTTGGTTTTAATTGTACGGTTCCATCTTTCACACACACTAAATTTTTCCTCATTCTCGGTTGAGTATAGTGTTATGTCATTCTTTTCCAATAGTTCCCTCATATTTTTGTTATAATACTCTTTCCCTTTATCAGTCCATAAATATTGTGGTTTACGGCCCTCCTTGAAGATGGTTTTGAATGCTTCTGTGACAGTTTCCTCTTTCTTATCCTTTAATGGGACAATCCATCCGTATTTGGAGAACAGATCTAGTACCATGAGAAGGTATCTGTAACCCTTGTTCCATTTGTTGAACTGTTGCATTTCAACCAGGTCTGAGCACCAAATTTTGTCAAAACCGGTTGTGATAACACGCCGCCGAGTAAAGTTGCGCTTTATTGGTTTATGTAATTCGTCCGCTAATTGTTGTTGCCAACTGTTACCCGACGGCTGTTCTAGTTTAAGCCAAGTCCGAGTTTCTGTTTTGTGTTTATTAAATTTCTTGCTAACCAGTGCCCCCACTGGCGTTCATTATAAGGAATAGCGTCTAATGATTTTACCATTTTACTGTCAGCTTTATTTTTACACTTTCGGTTATCACCGCAAACACTATAATCAACATCATGTTGCATGGCCACAGTATCGGTTGGTCCAGTTGGTTGATCAGAAATTTCTAATATTTCGCCAGTTTCTGGATTGTATTTCACTTGATTTTCAAGATCATTGTATGGACCAATATATTTATGTCCTGGTAAGTTCCATCCAGCTTTTGATTTTGGTAATTTACCAATCTGTTTATGGATATCTATTCCACTTCCAAATCCCGGAAATGTGAAAGATGGTTTTTCTACCCAACCCATTTTTTTAGGGTAACTTGTGTAAGATCCCTTGTAACCATCATCCATATTGATTCACATAATGCGGAGAAACTTCTTGACAATACACACAGAACTCTTCTGACATTATATAATAGGATTACATAAAATAGTTTATCAGAAACTTGTGATTTGTCATTTGATCTGTGAAACTGAATTTGGGGTTGTGTATAACGTCTAATAATGATCGACCATTTTGTCTCTCCAGGAGGTAATATAAGCACCAATAACCGCACAACACACTGTCCCTCTCTTGTATTTCATCTGAAGAAAACACAGTTTTTTTACCGCTTGTTTTCAGATAATTTTTGATTTCATTGGGTATAATCAACTCGAACGGATCAAAATACTCACTATCTTGCTTATCCACGCTTCTATAACAAATCCAATGACTGCCCCCGCCCATTGAATCATCCAAATTAATTTTTCCTGTTTCCAATTTGTGTTTTTTTTGTGGTAAATTATCGCGGCTGAAGATGCCCCTGAAATATTTTATTCCTAATTGTGTAACCCATTGTAACAAATCAATGTTCGATAACGGTTTGTTTATGAATTTTATAGTATTGTTCCTAGAATTGGGATTGAATTGAATGGACTGTTTTTCCCGAGCAGCAGTCCCTTTCCCCTTCTTTTTTTTTTTTTTTAACTCCCATACCAACTGGGATATTCCACGTTCCAAAAAGGGTGGTGACATGTAAGGGTACGGATTGATCATTCCGTGGCCATTAGTTGTATCGGGAACATAAACAGCTGCTGTATTAGCGGAACCAGTACTGTCGGCCTGGAGGCCCTTTCCTGTTTGTACTGCTAGCTGCGAGTCGCCAAGGTTTCAAATACTGCACATGGTTTATTTCGTCCAAAATGTACAGAAATACAGAAGATATAAAGAATTCGAAATCTACCTAGAGATATCAACAGGAACTACAATCAGTCAAGAAATGTTAAAGCAAACCGTAAATAAGAATAATATTCACGTACCCGTTGGTGTCTCTCAAGTTTCGCAACTAGTAGAAATGATCTTACTAATCAACGATTGTTACGTCATGTCATTAGTCGTGATTATATCACGCATGAATTTCGTGTTATACCGAAACACTCCCCCGCCACTCGAAAAGGAAAGTTACATTAAAAATACAAAATTTATTTCAAGTCCAGTTTCACGTAGAGTATTTCAATTTCAGAAAAATTAGTAGTAGTTCAATTGTTTGTGTCTTTATCTTCTTCCTTTGGTATCAAAACAACCAATTTGTTTACTGCTCGTTCAACGGTAACGAAACCTCTGCCATGGTACTCGTTGACAGCTTCTCCTGGTTTAGGATTTTTCTACTGCACTTGAACTTTCCTTACTCTACCATCTCCTCTAGGAAAGGCTTTAAGCATAGTCCCAAGCTTCCATTGTCCTCTTATCTGGTTTGCGTCTTGGATAAGCACTACATCGCCTTCACGAAGATTTCGCTGTGCAATGTGCCACTTTGGCTGAATAAGTAAACTTGGAAAGTAATCTCTGGTCCACTTCTTCCAGAAATAGCTCACGATACTTTGAACGAATTCAAATCTACGGCGGAAATCTGAAGTCTCCCGAAAGGGTCCGCTTGGTACTCTTGATGTCGCTCTTCCTAGCAATAAATCATTGGGACAGAGGCACGTTCCATCATGAGGTGAGGTAGGGTGTCTTCCGATTGGTCTTTCATTCACAAGATTTGCCGCTTCAAAGCAAACAGTTTGCAGTTCGGGAAATGTCAAAACATGATCACTGATTGCTGCTGTTATTACTCGTTTTATGGACTTGACCAATGCTTCAAAAACTCCGTTTTGCCATGGTGCATCAGCTGGCGCAAAATCCCATTTGAATCTTTCCATCACGCCAAATGTTTTGAGTTCGCCTTGGTTCCAACCCTTAACTACATTTTTTAGTTCTTCGTTTGCCGCGACCAGTTGAGGGCCATTGTCTGAATAAAGTTTGGAGGGGAAACCTCTAATTGATACAAATCTTCTGAGGACCATGAGAAATTTTTCAGTGCTGTAATCCGCGGCTAGATCTACGTGAACGGCACGGGTAGCCAAGCAGTTAAATATCACACCATATGTCTTCCCAATAGTTCTTTTCTTCACCTCATCTTTAATTTTGAACGGACCAAAGAGATCAATAGCTGTGCAGCTCCATGCAGGTGATGGCTTCAGTCTTTCCACCGGTAACTTTCCCATAATCTGTTCGCTTAATCTCTTGTATAATTTCTTGCATATCACGCAGTTGTATCGGATGGATTTCACCATTTTCAATAGTTTAATTATCCAGAACTTCGTGCGTATTTTACTGGGCGTGGAGAGTACACCGAGATGTCCTTGTCTGTGAATATGTTCAGCATAGAGACGGGAAAATCTATGGTCATAGGGCTACAGGATTACTTCATTTTTATTGTGACTCATCTTAATCCATCTTTCACCTCGTCCTCCAACCACGTATATTCCTTGCTTATTTTTTCTAGGGCATAGACGTTTGTATTTCCCTTTTTTGATGTCTGCGTGCATATTTCTTTGTGCTTCCATAATCCAGAAATGTTCCGCCTTCGTTACATCAAGAGGGATGAGTGGTTTTCCTGCGTTTTTGAATGACAGTTTTGGTGTTCTTTGGTACAGTAATAATACACGGGCTGTCACTCTTAATAGTTTGTCAATGCTATAGGAAAATCCAGGTTTTTACTCGCGAGTTTTTACTGTCTTTAGACCGGTCCGAGCTAAAATTTGTTTGGCAGGTAATAATTTATTTTGACCGGTTAGTAATTAGACATGACCGAGCTAAAATTTGTTTGGCCTTTCAACATTCAAAATTATTTCTATAACCCTGGCTATTTACATAGATCTACATATTCTTAAACACTCGAAGATAAGTATCTACCAAATATAGTAAAATAATGAAAGTTATTACTGTCTTTAGACCGGTCCGAGCTAAAATTTGTTTGGCAGGTAATAATTTATTTTGACCGGTTAGTAATTAGACATGACCGAGCTAAAATTTGTTTGGCCTGTCAACATTCAAAATTATTTCTATAACCCTGGCTATTTACATAGATCTACATATTCTTAAACACTCGAAGATAAGTATCTACCAAATATAGTAAAATAATGAAAGTTATTTCAATTACAAGAGG